AATCTGGCATTTGGGCTTGTTAAATTTCTTCCCATTAATCATTGCCCAGTGCTCCAGGGCACTGTGCTTCTGTGGTTGAAACTGGAATGACTTTGTATTCCATATCATGGCTGATTAATTATAACAACAGCACTGCAGTAGTTATGGTGCTATTTTCTATCTTAACATCTTGCTAGTTTGCTTGCCTCTGGTCAGGACAGCACACCAAGCAGAAGGTTCCGTGAGCTGTCAATAGTGTCTCCTGCTGTGTTTTCTTTTGCAGATTTTTTTTATCTGGAATGTATCTGTTGGCAAGATCAGCAAAAGTTATTTACTTTGATAAGATGTTTGTCAAGCTGCATTTTTTCACCGTGATAGTATCTCTTCATCTAGTTTTTTAAAATACCTACAAGTTTCTTGGATTTTCTTCAATTTAAATTAAAATTTGTACCAACTCTGCACTCTTCTGGTTCAAATCTTTTCCTGAAAGACACTCAAACATGTTAAACAACATCATATCTAAACCAGAAAATTGAGATGCTTTGTTCCGTTAATATTTTACATTTTCTGAACATTGGTCATTGTATTCCACATCTTTATTTTTTGCTCTGTTTTTGCTCTTTAACCAATTTGCAATCCCAGTTCATGACTACTTAATTTCAGAGCTCTGTTGTGTCACAGGCTCCTATCAGAGGCCTAGTCAAACATAAAAATTACTGGGGTTTTTGTTTTTTGAGTAGGTTTTTTTTTTATTTGAAAGACCTCACAGTCTTCATAAAGAATTGTGATAGATTCACAAGGCATAATTTTCATTGCAGAAACCTTATTAAATAATAACATAAAAGTTCATCTAAGCATTCAGACAACACTCTCAGCCACATGGTGTGATTTTTGGAATTTTCCTGTGCACAGACAGGAATTGCATTTGATGATGTGGGTCCCTTCCAACTCAGGATAGCCTATGATTCTATGAGTTATTTTGTAAGTCCCACTTTAGCTGGTACCGCAACTGATTTACTGAAAACAAGGCTTAGAGGTCCCTAAATCTCAGAGCACCTTTTTTAAGTATTGGCAAAGTATCTGTAATCTTTCAACGTAAAGTTAGTTTTAATCAGATTACATATTTTTGTTAGCTGCTTTACTGTAAATTGACCTTGGTCATGTACCCTCAGATTCTGGTGACTTTTTCTTCTATAATCCATCATTTTGTTTCTAACATTTCTTCTTTTCATCTCTCTCCCTCTGTCAGTACCTCATCTTTATTACGGAAAAAGACCATGTGGAAGACAGGTACCTCCCTAATGTGTGTTCCCTTTGAACTTGCTATGTGAGGTGCAGTACCTGCACTGTGTATGGCTTTCTAATGAAAGGCCTGTGATGTTCATCATCTCTAGAGCACAGTGGGGTCTTATATGAAAAGGTCTTGCATGAAGATGGACACAGCAGGTCTACAAGGAGCCAGAGCTCAATCATGAATTGTATTTACAAACATGGGTTTACTAATATGATGGCTAATGAAAAGCTAATCACCATAAAATGTTTGATACCTTTAGATTAAAATGCAGCTATTATAGCATTGCAAAAATAATATCCTACTGAACAGATCTGCTCCTTGTGTATACTCAAAATCACATCTACCTAGCTTGGTGACAAAAAGAATAATTTTTCTGTACTCATTAGTAACACAAAACTAATGGATTCTGCTCTGATTCTCTCCATAGCAACTGAATTCCCTGACAGTTCCAGTTGCAGGACTACATTCCTGTCCTGTAGTTTTGTTAAGAAGTTAAGTAATTTCTTAACTTCTTTTGTTAAGAAGTTCAGTACAGTTTTGTTAAGAAGAGCAGGACAGCACAGCAGTAATTAAAAGGAGCACTCCATGACTCCATGTCGTTGCCATCTCAAAGGTGCAGCTTAGGACAAAATTTAACTTCCATCTTTTTCTTTATTTTTTTTTTTTTTTAGTTGCTGCTGGTAATGCATAAGCCAGAAAGAACACGACTTTCAGAACCTGGCTCCTGTTTGCAGGTCTGGCAGTTGGCAAAAAAAAAAAAAAAAAAAAAAAAATTAGTCTGTAAACATTGCACATTTGATCTGGAGGCCATTGAGATATATCAAGTGTGGAATCCCATAGTGCCATTTTAGACAGTTGCTTTTTGGAGTGAAACCACTTTAAACAGTGAAAGCTGATTATTTCTTGCTGCACTGTTTATTTTGTTCCAAACATTTATGTTTTTATGGAAACAAGAAGCCCTGAGATGCTGTAAAAGAGTGCACCTGCAGAACATCTTTTAAGTACCATTGCTTTTTTAGTCAATAATGTCTTGAAACTTTGCAAATGAATGAAGATACAGTTTTTGCTTGAGAGAAAAAAGTGATTAAAAGACACAACAGCAAAGAGAGTAAATCAGCAGTAAGTCATTGACACAGTCTTTTGAAATCACTTTCAGGCCTCTAAAATGCCATCATCCTCCCTATTTGGGATTCTAAGTCCCCAAAAGTGTATTTTTGTAAGCTGTGAGAAGTGAGACTTAGTTACAAATTCAGAAATCACCATGCTTTATGCATTGTTTTTGTTATTCCTTTTGTGAGTTTGTAGGTGGAAAATCAACTTTGATTATGTTGTTGCAAGCAAGCACTTCCTGAGCTATCTAATGGTATCCTAAACTTTGGATTGCCTCCCCTGTGTCCTCCAGCTGCTTCCCTGGAAGGCCGTTAACCACCTCACTCCTTTCCCATTTAAAAAGCCTTTTCTAATTTCCAGCTTTGCATTTATTCATGGCTGGCTTATAATTGTGTGTTCTTGTGCCAACATTGTCATTTAACTTAAATAGGTCTTTCCCCTCCCTGATGTATATATAGACATCATATTCTTGCTCTGCCTTCATCTTCCTAGGCTAAACATCTTGTAAGGTTTTTTTTGCCTTCTCTCACAAGCAAGGCCCTCCATTTCATGATTATTTGAGTAGCCCATCTCTGCAACCTGCTTGAGCTCTGTGGGTTTTGTTAACATCCAAACAATATTTAAAGAATACAGATGTGAATCCAGAACCTCCCTGAGAAAATTGCTTATGCTATTAAACGTATGCTTTTACAGACTGAAAAGCCCTTCACTGTCAGGAATCTCCCCATGTTGATACTTTTGCAACATGGGCAGGCAGTGGAAAGCTTCTTCGTTGCATGTTGCGCAGATTTTACATCGTTTCTTTAAATTCTTCAGTACACAGATCATCACTTGCAGGAGACATGCGTTTTTGACAGTGGAACGTTTGGGAGGTATATACACACAAGAGAGGATACTTAGTATTGCTGGGGGCAGTAGATCACACAAAGATGTGAATTTTGAAACCTATAGCAGGTTCAAAAGGTGGGACTTGTCAACAGACAAGCCTACATGAGAGTTTAGAAAGCTGGATCTGAATTCTACTACTACAATATTTCAACTGACACAGAAGACTGCAGACACCTGAGAACTGTAGCAACCTGAAAACTGCTGCAAATCCAGTAAATCTATGAACATTTCTGAGTAAGAAGTGGAACCGAAAAGACAGGGATATGAGCAGTTCCTAGGAGATCACATTTGATTTAGTTACTGTAGCTCATCAGTGGAGTCACAGTAAAGGGCTGCATGTTCAAGTCTTGTTCTAGTAAAATGTATTAGTTGAAACACTTTCATAGTAGTTAATTGACCTTTTACAGTAGTTTAAGCAAACAGATTTTACTTCAAATTTGCAATGAATTTGGACCATGCACATAATCAGCTCACACAGCTCTACTGATGAGTGCTAACTCATTAAGCTGTGATAACTTGCTCACAGTCATCTGTCCACGCTCATCACGCTGCCTTTAGCAATGTGCCATAGCTGTTTTATGCTGGAAGAGCATTAATGTTCTCTGCATGTTGCTGAGAAGAACTGGAAGGCTTTTAGCATTGAATGAGTGCAACCAAGGTATTTCACATGTCAGCAACTCAGGGGGTTGGCAGAGAGAAAACATTTGAGTGTTTTTGGAACAAGAAAACAGTACCATTTGCCAGTCTTTCTTCTTGGGCATAGGATTTGGTTGAATTTTCTACCTCAACAGTCATTAGGAGCAAATTCATAGATACTACTACTGCATCCAATAAAGAAAGAGATTTGTCTCTTTACATAAAAATACTATTGTACAAGTGCTGAAGGCCAGGTAGACCTCATTCTTTCAGAAAGCAGAGCTGGTTTTGCAAGTTCTTAGCAGATCAGGAAGACACTTTCTCGTTTAATTCATCTAGCAGAGCTTTCCTTTAGAGCTAACATTGATAAAGCCACATTAACCATTGCTTTCATTTGGCATAGGAATAATTAGGGATGTTTAGTTTTTTTTCAAAGTAATGCTGCCCAAAATAAGTTACACAATGAAATTTTAACTTGCTCTTAATTGTTTAATTCTGTTCTTCTTCAATGAGAGTGGAAAACAATATATATATATAAAGCATTGTATGAGATTATAAATCATACAGGTGATTTATAATTTAAATACAACATACTACTAGGCACTTAAAATGGTTGCTGATAATTTTGGAATAATTTTTGGACTAATAGGAATAAGGTTAGTATTGCTTGTTCAAAAATATTGAGAAACAGAATTCAAAAATAAATCCTTATCATGTTTCTTGGCAACACAAGAACAAAGGTAAACACTTTGAAGTTTATAATTTTGGGCCGACTTGTCTGTGTCTCTTATTTGGCTTGATCTTGAGCACTTTTCAATCAAGGACCAAATGTGTAACCTATTTGTAGAACGTTTGTACAACAGTGTATACTTCTAGTACTGCCTCCATTCAAAATGTGCCTGTATGGAGCATTCTTTGTATTTTACAGGAGGTATGAAGGTCAGCAACTTGGAAATTTAAAAGAAAAATCCTAAACATCATCAAAATGCATGGCCAAATCTTCCACATTAAAGTACTAGAGAGCGCTCCTGTGCAGCTGTAGAAACTGCTTAGGTATCTTATAAATGAGTCTTTAAACTATTTTTTCCCCTAGGATGTAATTGGAAAAGCACTGCAATATATTGGAACATATGGTGATCTGTGCAACACAGAGCAAGTTGTGGCTCTGATTGACGAGGAAATGTGTATCAACTGTGGCAAATGCTACATGACCTGTAATGATTCTGGCTACCAGGTAAGAGCACAGCTGTACTTAGCAGAAAGGCACGATGAGTTATCTTTCTGCTGCTGGGAAGAAAGAATTCACCTTCTGTTAATGAGCAGGTGGTAAAAACAGATGCCTAAAATACTGGATTCAAACCCCAGCATGCTCCAAGGCCATGGCACACAAGCCCTGCCTGAGCTGTGTGAAAGGTGGCGACACTGCCCAGCAGAGCGTGTCACTGCCACAGGCCCTCCCTAACTGCAAGTGGGATTCTTTTTAAGAGGAAGAAAATGAAGGAGTCCCAAGTTACATGGCAGTAAATGTAGTTCTTGATGGTTTTCAAGTACATGAGGGAGAAAGGGAGAATGTGTCCCTTTCTGACAAGGGCTGGTCTTATTGCCAAATGCTTTTTAAGAAACCCGGTCCTTGTTCCTGTAGCATAACTGAACTTGAACTAATTCTGGTTTCAGGCAGGTGGGGTTTTGTTTTGATCTTGACTGAGTATACAGATCCTTTCTCCAGGATAACTGTCATGGTTTAGAGCAGCAGGTTGAAGTTTGCAGAAATCATTGTGACCAACAAATAGCAAAATTTTGACCTGAGGCTCCTGTTTGCAGCAAAGTATTCATCTGATTTCTGCTTAATATGGTAGCATAAGATGTATGATATGTATCCACGTCTTTGTGTCATTCTGTGCCATGTCCACTGGAGTTGATGGACTGGTCTGCAGCAAAAAAGGCAGTACAGGAAAACTCACCTCTTTTAGAAAACCAAAATATGGTCTAGCATAACTGTCATGGAATCCAGTATGCAGTAAACAATAATTTCTACACAAGGTTTTCCATAAATCTTAGTCTGAAAATAGCTTGTCAGAAATAAATACTTTAAATGAGCAGCAAGTTTCCTCTGGACACACCATGAGTTTGTGTTCATCTTTGATTCAGTCTAATTAGTAGTAGGTTTGAGGAACTGAACTACATACAGTCACAGAAAGAAGTCTTCCATTTAAAATCAACTCCTGCAATTAAAACAAGTATATCAGAGCAAAGATGGTTTTTTTTCCCGATACAAGAAAATTAATGCTGCATTTATACCAAAGTAGATTACTACAGTAGCCTTTTAACTGTCTAAATTTTTTCTTGACACTGCAATCTTCACCTCTTCCCCTTCCATCAGATTTCCCATTGAAGGGGAGGATATAGCCCCTGGTGAGCAAAAGACTGGGTTTATATTTAGTAAAATTTTATTTTCTGTAACTGAAAAAAAAAATCACCACCAAAAGAATCAAAGTTTAAAGCCCCAGGACTTTTTCTAAGCACAAAAAAGATGGTTTTGCCTTATTTAATTAAAGAAATTGAAAAGAAATTAATTGCAAAGAATTGCAAAGCAATTCTTAATTGCAAATAAATCAACAACACACACACCTCCTTCAAAATAGCATCTGCTCTATACTTCCCTTTGTTTCAGAAATTTCCATGCTGCTCTACAGAGCTGTCACCTTGTGTGACTCCAACGGAAAACCTTTCCTTAATTTAAAGTTAGCACTGTAGTCCTGACTTCCTCTCCCTCTTTGAACTCCCTTTCAAGATGTGCATTGTTGTTAGTGAGAGAGAAAGGAGTCCTCCTTAAATACTCACAAGCCAGAGCTCTCTTTGTGCTCAAGCTAAACCAAAACTCATAGATCTAGGGTAGTTACTACCAACTTCATGCCCTTTCTGGTTGCTACAGCAACTTCTGTGCCGTCTGAGCAGTGAAACCCCAAATGTAGCAAATCTGCCTTTGAAGCCCATCTGCAGCAGCACCCAGTACCTCGTATCACCTCCCTGCCTGCCCTAGTTGCTGACAGTGGTCAGGGAGATTTGCTAAGACACTGCTTGTTTGCACAGAAGCCAGAGTTCAGCTTTCAGGCCTGATTTTCCCTCCTAAACTCTTAAAGTAGATGTTCAGTGTTTTGGGCAGGTTTTTCTAATATTTTACTTTTCTAGTCTTGCTTCTTAAACATTGAAGCTTTTGCAGTTGTGTGATGCTTTTGTTTTTGCTTTTAATTGCTGTTTCCATTATACCAGGAGCTTACTTCATTGAGACTGCAATTGTTATTTCACATTCAGATACAGTTATCGCCCTTATTAGTAATGAGGATTCACTGCATGGAATGTAAGAACTAAAGGAAGATCTGTGTGCCCCAAACTCTGATATCTCTTTTGAAGACTTGCAAAGGAAAATAATCACGAGACACAGTGTGCTGTGTTTTTCCCTACTGTTTATTAAAGTAGATTGTTTCTACTGTGATGAAAATAAAAATCAAAAGAACGCATTGTGACCAGCATTGTGCTGAAGCCATACAGGCATGGTCTGGTGTCTCCTCTGAACCAATACCCAGGCACATTGCTATCTTATGAAATATTTCCTTCATTTGAAGGAGAAATACCTTCTGGGAGTTTAAATATCATGGGCCAAACTCCTCCTTTTTTAATCAGCCCTTGTGACCTATGAGCTTTTGCCAAGGTATAAGTTGGCCCACATCTCTAAGTTTCCAGTGTCCGCAGAGGGGGTTGTTTTGTTCCCTGCCAGTTGAACAGTTGCTATAGCTGCAGTGCAGAATCACACCAAGATGTCTGCAAGTGCTGTAGCGCAGGAAATGCAGACACTGAAATGGGAGCAATTTTGACCTTTTCTGTGAGTGACATCAATAATGTTTATTCCTGTTTGCAGGCTATCCAGTTTGATCCCGAAACCCACCTGCCCATGGTTACTGACAGCTGTACAGGCTGCACCCTGTGTCTCAGCGTCTGCCCTGTTATTGACTGCATCCGCATGGTTTCCAGGACAACACCCTACGAACCAAAGCGCGGGCTGCCCTTAGCCGTGAACCCCGCGTGTTGAGGTGATCGGTCCGACAGCTAACGTGAACTTTACACTTGTTTGGTGCAATTGATTTGCTTTCTAATTAGTCCTTGAAAATCTACTCATATAAAAAAAAAAATGTGGTATTGATAGCCGTTACAATGAACACTGCTTTCCAATTACTATTCTTACAACAATTAAGTTCTGAAATTACAGGAAGGCGATTGTGGCTGTCAGTTGTCTACTATTTGAAGTGTAACTTTCTCCTCACAAATTCATGCTGTGATTTCAAAATTTCTCTATAGACTCTTTAATGTCTATGTATTTTCTGGCTGGAAATATAATTAAGAAAGCATTTTTAATGAACTACAAATCAATGTACAAGCTAACTGTTTTTAGGGAGGGCATTTTGTAATTAAACATTACATTTAGTTTTAAAATAGTTTCTTAGAAGATGTAATTAACTACATAGCATTCAAACAAGGCAATTGGCTTCTATTTTTCTATAGACAGAAATGAAAGGGAGTTTAAAATGGGATTTAAGAACTGGATTAATCACTTTCAACTACTACAACATATGGTAGTGTATTTTTATAATCCTTTCTAAGTCTTTCTCACACTAGTCATTTTATAGAATGAATTTTCTTTGCACTGACACATGCTGGACTGTTCAGATTTGTGCACTGCATGGCTCCTTGACTGTTGCTTCCTCCCCCCAGTGTAAAATCTCTCTGGGAACAGTTAAACCAGTTTATTAGGAAGTCCAAGTTGCATTTCAGGATTCTGAGAAGCAGCAACATTTTTTTGGTCCAAGCTCATCATCTAAATAACTTTTTAATTGTGCCAATTAATGTTCCAGAATATACACGTTACAGGTCAGAGAGCTGATTATGTGCCAATGGACTACACATCCCGCAAGCTGTGTTTGCCAAACACACACAGGGCAAACCAGCAAGGTGGTTTCCCCCAGTGCCACTTCTTTATACTTATGGGTTATGTATGGTTGCGATAGTTTCACAGACAAAAATAAATATAGATTTGTCTGTCTTGCTAAGCAATATCTCAATTTTAATCCAGTTCTCACTCACAGTAGGAACTTTCTAATATGAACATATTGCTGTCTGCTTTACTTCACTTAAGAATATAAAGCCTTTAGTTTCATAACAGTAATAAATGATCTATCAATTCAATTTCTTATACCGTATATTGTGAGCTCCAAAAGCTTTGATTAAAAATATACTGTGCCTTTTGTTTCTTGATTTATGGATTGTACACTGAGTTATAAATAAATTTGAAACCAACTTGGGTTTGTTTGTGGTATATTTTTCATTTACTAAACAGATTTTTTTTTTTTTTTGTAGAGCCTTGTCAGTTGGTGTTTCATGATCTCTAAGACTCACTCCAGGAATCATTAATGAGTTAATTCATGTGTACGTTATTTCATTGATTGCCTACAGTGCAGAATGTAGCATGTTCTTTGCCCCTCTCTGGCACCTCTTTGTCTGCCTTTGACTTGCCTTCCTTTTGCCTCCCTTCCCCCCTTACTCATACACACACACACACTGGGTGTACATATTTGAACATTTTGAAGTGTCATTTCATTTAGTGTCCTTGCACCACAAACACTGTTTTACTGGCACTTTGGGCTTGCTTGATGGGATCCCTTAGCAGGCTTAAACCCAGTAGTGTCTCCACTAATAGCTTTCTCTTAATTTTTTAATTTTTCTATTTATCATTGTGGACGTTTCCCACTCAGATGAAACGGGTACTGCTCAGAAAATATTTGCCTGAAATTTCTTTAAAGCTCTTAGTCTTCTGATAGTTTCTTATCTTACACAAGCTACAGAGGACTCACAGGAAGAACAAGCTGTTTTTGAATGTTAGTGGCAAAGTTTGGAGAGTCTCTGCATGCACTGCTTGTACCTCTGCCGAGGAGCTGGCTGACAAGCAGCGTGCCCTTGAGCGGGGCGGAAAAAGACATCAAAATCAGATCATCTGAAAGCAGCATTTTATGTTCTCAGACAGCAGATGCAAGGAAAAGTAGCTGTCTTCTCCCAGGCTGTTCCCATGTACTTCTTATTTCATATCCTGAGGGTGAGAGGTGGCGTATCACCTGTGACTGAGCTGGCCAGGGTCTCCAGGTCTTCTGTTGCTGCATCAGCAGACTTGATTATCTTGCTGCCCTGAAGACATCACGCCTGGTAGCCTGGCTTCTTTTAGATGCAGGACAATGCCAAGAGACCTAATTTAAATATCTAAGCACATATACATCATAAATGTAACAGAAGTGTAATCAGAGCTTTTCCAAGAATATTGAGTAGTCATAGGACATCCAGTATTCCCAACTAGCTATAAAGTAATCTTTGGAGGGATAAAGGCCTTCTTTGTGAATCAAGACTATAATTAAGACTATTACTTGTTTACTAAAGAAGAAATAATGGGTAATGTTATGGAGGTTTCTTTCTTACTACTCACTCTCTCCCCCACTCTTGTTTGGTCAAGTCCATTAACAGTTTCAGGAAATGCATTCCCAAATGAATATTAATAGTTTATAACTTTGACAGTCAGCAATAAATCTGTGTGTTGCAGGAACTCAAAGAAATGGCCACATTTAGGTCTCCTGCAGGAATGTCTTTAAGTCATCAGGGTAAGGCAAGGTGTAAACAGGCAGGGGAGAGAGACACAAAGAATATATTCCTGGGATTTATAGGTTTTTCACATAGATCTTGGGGAATCCATCCCATTTGGTGCATTCAAGAGCCAAGGAAACAAATCAGAAAAATCTGGTCTGGTCTGCAAATGCTGTAGCCAGTTATCAAAAAAGAGATATGAATTTTCAAAGTGTAAAAGGCTCCAAATTACGCTCATGTATTTCAGTGATTTAGTTGCATATTTAAGGAATTATGCATATTTAAAGACATTGATGACATCCTCCAACCCTAGCCCTCACAGTTTTTAGACTTTGTCCTATTGATTACTATTATAAAATATTGTAAACTACATTTGACAAATTAAATTATGATAGAAGTGCCATAGCTCATTGTCCAGTAGCATGTTCTTATTCATATCATATTCCTGAATAGAAGATCCTCCCCAGGTTCAGTGTATGCTCTGCAGGCCAAGAGTTACTTGAAAAAGCTGCCAGATATGCTTGTGTGAATCCCAAAGCACCCATACACATTTATTGGAAAAAGAGATGTTTTGCCTCACTAACAGACTATACATGCGGTTTGGTTTTTGGCCTCTACAATGAACTGACATAATATTTCCAAGGCACTGGACTGGCAACATTATGAACCACATTTGAAAAATTACACAGGATTTTTAAAATACATAATTTCCTAATTTAAAATGAAATATTAATTTGATCTCATAACTAAATTAAAATTAGTCATTGCATGAATCTGCTGGGCAGCCTGTATCTCCAGTGCTGAAGCCGAAGTACATGTATACTGCTCCTTGCCCTGAGACTTTACCAAGTGTTGGAGGAAGCCTTTTCAGCAGTCACCCATGTGCTCAGTTCATAAAATTTGGCAGGAGCACAATGTAAGTTACCCATTAAGAATTCCTGCCCCTCTTTGTGATGTCTTGGAGGACACAGAGTTATGGGAGAGGTGACTTGGCAGCCATGGAGTGGCTCGCTGTCAGTTCTGCAGTCTCTCCACCTTCCAGTACATATTACTGTCACCTTTGGCTCCTCCAGCTTTTAAGCCTTTTATCTAAAGGTGGCAAAAGCCATTGCTAAATTCAAGGCAAGTTACCCAAACTCAAACTGAATGCCATCAACCTCAAGCCTCATAAAACCAATTTGTTTAACACAATCCAAGACTGTAGCCTTAGAAATAAAATGTTAAGCATAGATACTTCCTATCAATAAGTTCTTGCCAACACCTTCTGTATGTATGTTTCATTATTTATCTACTGTAACATGGGGTTGGGCATGTTGTTAAAATTTTATATTTTTCAACATTTTTCCTAGTAGAAAATATTTTTTTAGATAAAATATTTATTTTCTTGGCAAAGGTTTCACTTCACCAGGCAGCTCTGCTTCTTTGATGAACTGTGGAAGATAGGTTTTCATTGGCAACATCTGGCAACCTGGCAGACGCTCTCGGCAGCTGGATTGGTAACTTCAGAGTTGCTTCTGGGTCTTTCATATAATTAGTCTGCTTATAGGCCATCTGCGTTGCTTTGTTTTTGCTGTTGCTGTTTCTTTTTTTTTCTGAGGAACTGTAATCTTTCCAGTTGTTTCTCCAGGAGATCAGTTTTTAATAACTCTTCCTTGGGTTAGTCTGCTGGGTCTTGTGCAAACAACCATGCTGGCCTTGCCTGGGAACAGAGATACTTCTTTTATCCCTTCTTTCTTAGAGGTCTGAATCTGCCCATCATATTTTTTATGATTTGGGAGCACAGATTCTCATTGCTATGAAGCCGTGAAGCTGGAGGTCAGCTTGGCAAGTGAACACTTATCAGCTCTGCACAAATAAAGCCCTAAACAATACAGATCTTAACAGTAAGCACATACATGCACTCTCCCCACTTCTAGTTTAAGTACACTAAAGTTACCACAAGGAAATGCAGTTGTTCATTTTCTGTAAAAGAACTGTAAAGTATTCAGCTTTACTGTGATACACTTACCTGGATGCTTTCACACACCAGGGCAATGTATGTGAATTCGCTTGGACTGAGCACTGAACAGAAGAAAGTCCTTTCTACTGCGGCTCAACAGCTGAATACTGTAGCTATTCAGTTTATCTGAATGCTAACAAACCTCTGAACTCACTGGGGTTTCTTGTGGTGCTGTAGAAATACCAACCCTCCCACGCACACTCATCACTGCAGTAAGTGCAGGGAAGATTTCTTTTGCTCTGCACAAAGCTGCCTTTGCACCTCATGTGACAGGACTTTCTCTGCAGGGACATTACAGCGTCACCTTCTAGATGTGGAGGTTAGACAGCACTCATCTGTCTGCATCCTACACGCATTTCCACATATTTGTCAACCAGGATTCTTAAGGGCAGCAAATAGTTTCAAAATGTAAGATACTATATAAGGTTCAGGAGAATCTTAATAAATGATTTTTATATAAGTTGACTAAAACAGTGGCAACCATTGATCTGCCTTGTCTTTTTTGTAAGACCAAACATTTTACTTCTTTAGCATTGTGATACATTTAACACTGCCCCTCTGTTTCTGCCTTCAGTGGTGAGCTCTCTTTTATTTCATTTCAGCCAAAAGGCAGGCAGTATCAAATGGCTCCAATCACCAATTCACACTGGCAATTGCCGATTAGAATCACATGCCACCTACTGGAGCTAATTGACATCCTAAAGGACATTATTCTCACCTGTTTAGTCTTCTTATCGTCACAGCTTTTACTTCTGCTTATTGTAGCCAGGCTTAGGCCTCAGCACTGGAATCTCTGTATTCAGTTGTTGAGGAATAATGTTTCTCGGGAACTGAACTCCTGTTATCATGCAAATGACCTGCAGATAAAAGTCGCCCAAGTTGTTTGTGCAGGGGCATGAGGCAAAACTTTGTAAGTTTGAGTTCAGCCAAGGGGAGCCAGTGCATTCTGCTTTTCCTATGGGTGTTCTATATTGACTTTTATTTGTTACAGGTAAAGTGAGTGACGTGACATTTGACAAATCTCACTGTAACAAAAGGGAGCTAAAGTGAATGGAAGTGGTTCTGTGCTGTGAAATAGGGCTCCAGCCTGATGACAGCATTGGGGCTGGGCAGTGCCAGCCACCGTCCCCAGCAGCTCCTTTCCCAAGGAATGCTGGTGGTGCAGGGGCTGTCCCAGGATCCTCTGAAGGGCAGAATGGGCACTCCTCTTTTCTTTGGCATAGACTTTAGTGATTATAATCTGTCCTCTGGCTGCTGGCAAGACAATAGGTCACCCTTTCCATGACTTTCTAGTTAAAACAAAAGCAAGCATTGAAGGATTCTTTATTGAAGTCTTAATAGAATTATTATTTTTTTAAAAAATCACATGAAATGCAGGTGAAAAAGAATATAAAGTCTATTTTCCATAAGGTGAAATAGCTGGTAAGCGTAACTGTGTCTTGGTGTCTGGGCTACTGCTGCAGTGGTTGCCTGTGCAGTCACCTGCTTCCCAGCTGTAGGAACAGCCCCATTGGAACACATTTACTGGTTCACCATCACACGCAGAGCAGTCTTTTAAAGCATCCCACGCTGCACTCCATGAATCCTGTCTCATAATTTTGCACAGGTAAACCCCTTTCATAAGTTTTATGAGGTGCCAACATATATACTATTTTATGCTACTAGCCTATTTATTGG